GAGGGACAAGAACGGGGCGATTCATGCCAGGCACAAGCCGGCTTTGTCCTGCCGAGCGCCTCGGGCTCCCCTTTCCTCAACCCCTAGAGCCTGGAAACGTTGTCTGGCAGCTCCAGGACCTCCAGAAATCCTTTGGAGGCTCCAGGGATTTGCAGGGCTCCACGGGCTCCCAAAGGAGATGGGTGAGGGCCAGGCAGCGCCCTTCGCAGTCGCCCAGGAGAAAGGCTTCCTCCAGCGGGAGCAGACAGATGGTCTGTGGAAGAGGTGCTGCTCGGGCATCTGTCACAGCCCTCGAAAAGTCTATTTTCAAGACAGGGCTTGGTTGGGTTTTTTTTTGGAAATACCTGAAGAACAGGGAAGCTTCCCGGGCGCCAGGATGGTCCCACCTGTTGTGTAACCATCTCCCCTCCTGGGTGGGGACAGAAAACTGTGATGTTCCCTCACCCAGCGAGACCAAGCTCCCTCTCGGCACAGAAAATGCTTGGAAGTAAATCCCTCCCTTTCCCTTCGCAACTTAAAACCCCCGAGGGATGCAGGGAGCCAGGGGACGGGCCAGCACCTCGATCAGATCCACCCCTACAGCAGCTCCCCAGCTCCTAAACCAACCTCCGGCCCCAGATGTGCTCTGCTCAGGTGGGGAGACCTGAAACAAGGGGGAAAAGGACTCCCCTAAAACAAGGGGGAAAAGGACTCCCCTCGGCGACGACCCCAGCTTTCTCACCACCCTTTGCATTTCGGCAGGGCAGGAAGGAAGAGGTGGCTGCAGCCAGGTGCTCTGCCTCTCCCTGCTGCTAAGAGGTACCAGGGAACCCCCTGACCCGAATATTTATTCATGGGATGAGCCAAACAAAGCCCTCGGCATCTCTGATGCCGCCACTTGCGATCCGGCCGGCTCCGCCGCACCGAGCCGCCCCCGCCAACAACAAATCACAGGGGTTTTTTCCCCCTAGCATGAAAAAAAAAAAAACAACCCCCCTTTTAGAGCCCAGTGCGTTGAAAGGAGGAAAGAACTGGGGTAGCCAGCAAGAGGATTCCTCCAGTTACATCCCTGGGCCGACCCGACACCAGAGCCCGTTTTGGCAGCAAGAACTCATGAAGTTTTCAGAGGTTGGCGTCCAGCGGAGACGACACGGGGGCACAGGCGGGGGGAGGGGGAGGGCCAAAAAAAAACAGCCTCTCTCTGTACCTGGAAATCGTTTTTTTTTTTACCACCAAAACATCAGCTCTCAGCCAGGACAGGGCATGAGGAGTATTTAAACGGAGCCAAGGGGTGAGGAAGGAGCTGGTATCTCACCCAAAGAGGAAGAAAAACCTCCCCAGAGCTGGAAAGTGGCAGCAAAGGTCTGGGGAGGCGCCTCTGCCGGGACCCTCCAGCTGCAGGAAGGGATTTAGGGCGCTGCCCTGCCACCCCCTTGGCAGAAGGAAGAGCAGCATTGCTTATTTTAGGGTTTTTTTGGGGTTTTTTGGTGTTTTTTTTTAAATGAGGGTGGTGAGGAATCCTTGCAGAAGCCTGTGTCAGGGAGGGGCTGCTCTTTTAAACGAGCTCCTTTAAGCCAGATAGGAATAATTAGCAAGGTAGAGGTGATGAAGCAGCAGGCACAGAGCCTTCCACAGCAGCTGGCCAGCAAGGAGGGGCAAGGACTGGGGTTAATCATTCCCTTTAGAGGGAGAAATCCCTCCCTGTCCCAGGAAAGCTGCAATCCCCCTCCCAGGGGTAAATTCATAGGGAAAAAAAAGTGAAGCTTTCTGAGGACAAGGGGGTTTTCTCAGACCCCTCCGGCCGCCTGCTCCCCGCTTTGGGGTGACAGTTGGTGGCAGGGGTTGTCTTTTTGGGTGGAGATGGCCACACACAGGACGCTCCTCCACCCAAACGCCTCCGCTCGCTGCGCCCCAGGCCGGTGCTACGACCCCGGCAAAAAGCAGCACGCTGAAAAGGGGGTTAATTAGTGTTTTAATTGACTTGAGGAGAAGACGTGGTTTCCATAGCAATGGGCTGCCAGCCTCAATTTGTACCAAAACTGGAGTTTTAAAAAAATAAACGCATCACAACCATTAAAAAAACCCTGAAAATGGGCATTTATTAAAGATAAAAAGATAAAAAAGCGCCTCTGCCAGCTCACACTCTTCCTGCCTCCTGGAATTTCTTGAACAGAAGTTCGTCAGCCCGAAGGGCGAACGTCAAAGCCCGTTTCTGGTAGTAGAGGGAGTCCGTGGCCAGGTTGTCGATGACGTCTGCCAGGAGGTGGGCTCTCTCGACCGAGCTGCCCGGCGCCTCGTAGCCCAGGGCGGTGAAATGCACGTGCAGGTGGTAGTAGGAGGGTTGGTAGTGCAGGTAGATCCGCAGCTGGGAGCCAGGCACCCCGAAACGCTTCGCTATGGCCTCCTGAAGAGACAAAAAAACCACACCAACCCCCCCGAAAAGGTCAGGACAAGCAACACGCAGCGAGGGCAGGGGGCGGCTGGGGGCCGGCAGCGCGCGGCCAGACCGACCTTGCGGCGGACGGAGCGGAGCGTCCCCGGAGAGCAGGAGTTCTGCTTCCTCACAGCGAGGGAGAGGGGGAAGGTGGGAAGGGCAGGGCTGCTCTTCCCCCCCCCC